AAAGATTTTATTTATTTATTTGACAGAGAGAGAGAGCACAAGCAGGGGGAGAGGCAGAGGGAGAAGCAGGCTTCCCGCTGAGCAGAGAGCCTGACGTGGGGCTCGATCCCAGGACCCTGGGATCATGACCTGAACCAAAGGCAGACGCTTAATGACTGAGCCACCCAGGTGCCCTTTAATGCACATTCTTATCCAACCCATTTTTAAATTCTACACCTGAAACTAAAATAAATAAATAAATAAATAAAAGACGAAACTGGGTATCAATCCCCTGCTTAAAACCCTTCTATATATCTATATCTTTTGAATAAAATCCTAAATTCTTACCTGATCTGTGAGACTATGTAATTTGGTCCTTGCTTGTTTCTCAAATTTCACTCTGTGCCTTCCTCCTACTTGCTCATTTGGTCTAGGACTTCTGGAAATATTATTCCTTTTGTCTGGAACCATCTTGCCCTGGCTCTCTGTCTAGGTCTCAGCCTAGATGACAACTTCTTAGAGAGGCACTGCCCAGCTAGCCTTATCTTTGTGAACCTGACCCTTCTCTAACATCACCCTCACTGACTTCTTTTATAGCACTTTAGTTGTGATTGTTTTCTTATTTGTTGTTAATTATTCCTCCCACTAAGATGTAAGCTCCACAAGGACAGTGACTAATTCCGTTTGCTCACCAGCATAGCCCCTAGATCAAACAAATGGTAGAAAGTCAATAAAAGAATGAACCTACCGTAAGTGGGTAAGAACAGGAGGCAGCATTTCAGCCAACTCATCCATTGTGGGGTACTGGTACCTGAAATTCAAAAGGATATCTCCTGACTTAGGATGCACCCACATTTCCCAATCACAAGAACAGCTAGAAGAGTATGGGATTCTTAGATAAAAGCATTCTCTTTTACCAAAGGCTGAAAGGAGATAATGTGTGGAAATGACTGTGACAAGTTGTGCAACTCTCTACGACTTCCATGCTAAGGAGGAGAAGAATCCATGTGTCTCCACATTCTAAAGGGCAGTTTCTGGGACCAGAGGAAGCCATTTGAAAAGAAAAGGTAATATGGCTCTTTCCCAGGGTATTTCCAAATCCCTAATAATCACTTTAACTGGGATTGAGGCTCAGCAAACTTCCAGCAGTATGTCAACTGAAGAAGTGGCTCTTGGTCTGCAGCTTATATTCAGGCAGCTAAAGGCAAGAATAAACAAAGCCTTACTGGGCCTAACCACCTAGTCACAAATCCTGGACTCCTCATCATGAGTGCTGATCTGCTTTACTCAAGCATAAGATAACATGGTTACCTTATTGCTTTTGAATCTGGTGTATGGTATGAACCACTGGATCCTAAGATGGTCAAGCAAGCCCAGGAACTGATTCAGACTAGGAATCCAAGAAAAGAAGGGAGCATCCACAGAGATTACCGAAGCAGAGATGGAAAGAGATCTTTTTTTTTTTAATTTTATTTTATTACGTTATGTTAGTCAACATACGAGATGGAAAGAGATCTTAAGACAATCTCCTATATATGAGGCAGGATTTACCCTATCTGACAGGGGAGTCAGCCTGCCTCTGCTTGAAACATTTTTTAAGCAATGGAGTGCTCTTGAGCCATTTGTGCACAAAACAGAAAAAAGGAACTGAATCTAAATCTTGGTGGCTATACGCTGGTCACTGGCCAAATTGCATCTGAGAGACGGAACAGCCTGGACATAGTCAGTAACATGGCTTCTGGAGCCAGACTGCCTAAGTTAAAAATTCCAGCTCTGCTACTTATTTGTTATGTAATCTTGGCCAAATTACTTAATTATCTCTGGGCCTCAGTTTCCTCATTTGTAAAATAGGAATAATAGTAAACCTGTCCCATAGGTCTGTGAGGGTTAAATGACTTAATAAATGTGAAGCATTTAAAGCAGCGTGAGGAATGTTATCAAGTCCCATGTAAGTGTTAGCTCTTACTCATCTGCAATGGTCTATTTCACAACAGTCACTGGCAGAGGCAGCTCTGGAGAGGAGCCAAGGGAAAGGGGAAAAAACCCAGCATTCCACAGCTTGTGCTTTCTCAATAATTACAATGTCCACGGAAGAGTGAGGGAGACTGTGGCTCCACCATGCAAAGCAGGTTTAGGATGAGGCCAAGAGCTCCAAGTCCACTCAAAATGCATCTCTAGCTGACAGGGCAGCTTCTCAGAATAAATGGTTACAAAATATTCAAATTCCTGTCACCAGATTGGGAGGTAAGGTTGGGGAGGTGCTCTCAGGAAGCTCAGAGGGATTGGAGTTTGGACCTAGGTAGTTGGAAGTTTCAGGGAGGGACACAGAAATGACAGATTTTAAAAAGATGATGAAGGAGACAGATAAAAGACAGTGAGAAGTGGGTGTTTCAGACACTTAAGCCTTGCAATTGCAGGGAGACAGAGTCCCATCTATGGAGAACCATTCCTGGATATAGGAAAACATGCAGTTTTCCTCAACAGACTGTACATGTACATGACAGTCCTCTCAGAGCAAGGAGAGAAATAGGGAGGGTAGTTGGTTGATAAGTATAACCCCTACGCTATGCTAAAATCAATGCTACTTCTCCCACTGGAGCTCAATCATTTGCTCTTCTGAATGCATGCCTTTCAGAAGATCCTGCTAGTGGCCTTACCCTGTTGGGAAAGAGGGTGCACCCTCCTGCTGGCCTGGGGCATCCACATGACAGACAGCAAAGTGCTGGGTGATCTCTTGCATATCTTCAAAGTTAAAGAATGCATTGAAACAGGATTTATCTGTAAGAGTAAAAATACTCATAAGTCACAGGTTCTCTGTCTCTCCCCAATTTTCAACAGACTGTACATAAAAGTCCTCTCTTTCTCTCCAGTTTTCCTTGACTCAATTAATTCCTAACGTCATCCTCTTTCACTCTCCTTCCCCCGCTTTTACTCCCTTTTAATCCCTGTTCCACTAAAATGAGGTGTCTGAACAATGTGATTTAAGCTGCCCTAAAGGCTGAATACCAGACATCTCAATGACCTGAAAACAACAATGAATTCTCGATTCTACACAATGTCTACAAAATGGAAACCAATTCTGGTATTGCACGAAATAGTCTTGCACCCATAATGCTATCATTTCTCATGTACCTTATTCTTCCATCTGACACAGAGATGCTGACTATATTCCAGGAACCTGGCTAGAATAAATATCCTGGGCTGCTTAGATTCACCATGTGAAGACGGTCTCTTGGCAAAATTGCTGGGGTGTAGAGAGGGGCTGCTGCTTCAATTTCTACCCTATTAGTATAACTACTTAAATCACTTCTCATGCAAAAGAGGCTACAAAAGCTCCAGCACTAGACTGTAGCCTCAAATGTAGGCCACGTTTGAAAGCTAGAGAAGCATGGGACAAAACACAAGTATAGACTCTGAGCCTAGGGCTAGGGCCAGAATCTTATACTACCATCTAGAAGAGTCCACTTAAAATCACTGATGACAGACCATAGCAAGAATACTTTTACTAATTCACGAAGAGCTCACAACAAAGTTAAGTTCAAACTCTGGATTTTCTAACTTGAAATATGAAAAAAAACCAAAGAAGTATAGATTTAAACAAAATAAACAACTGATTTCAGTTCTCTTTTTTTTTTTTTTAAAGAGACACACTATTTTTTAAGTAATCTCTATGCCTAACGTGGGGCTCAAACTCACAACCCCAAGATCAAGAGCTGCACGCTCTATGGGGCGCCTGGGTGGCTCAGTTGGTTAAGCGTCTGCCTTTGGCTCAGGTCATGATCCCGGGATCCTGGGATCGAGCCCCACATCAGGCTCCCTGCTCTGCGGGGAGTCTGCTTCTACCTCTCCCTCTGCCTGCCGCTCTGCCTACTTGTGCGCTCGCTCTCGCTCTCCCTTTCTCTCTGTCCAATAAATAAATAAAATTTAAAAAAAAAAAAAAAAGAGCTGCATGCTCGGCCGATGAGCCAGCCAGGTGCCCCTCAGTTCTGCTCTCTTAACCAGTTCATCCTTTAGCAGTTAAGACACAAAGATGAGATATAATTCCAGTATCCCCCAAACACATTCTCCTGAACAGTTCCCAGACACCTTAATCCTGCCATTAACACGTGTAGCTATGAGGAGGGCAGGGTAAGACACAGAGGAAAACACCTGTGCTCTGTTAGAATACTGGGATTTCTTCTTTTTAAAAATAAATACACAAAGATCATGTATTAAGATAAAAAGGAAAAGTATAAAATCAAATACATACGATTGAGGCCAATGTCATGGTATGTCAGAATAACTGGTCTGTTTCCTTTTGGTAGGCCTCTGATGGTGACATGGACCACACCGTGAGTTGTTTCTATGTCATGTTCCTGTAACAAGAGAATGTATGGTCTCAGCAAAGGCAGAATGGACTTCCCAGGTGGCTTAAGTTCCACAATACCTAATTACTGCTATTTCCCACTTGCTGGGACAGGACACATCAGTGGACTATAAGCCATACCAGAGAGATGTTAGAGTATACAGAATATTCCCACTTTCTAATTCCTTCCAGATAAACAAACGAGGGAAAAAATATACCTTCTCATCCGCAAAGTTCATCTCTTAAGTGAGGGCAGTCAGGGATCTGTTAAGAATACACTTGCAAGTGGCTATGGAAAGGAGAACAGCAAGCTGGGTAAGGAGCCAGGTTAAGACTTGGGGCAAGAAAAGTTAAGGAAGCAGAAGATATGAAGGAGTTGCTAGGTTTCAGAGCCTCTAAACTAATGTCCGGCAACTGATAAATTCAGTAGACATCTATGGGTGCCTCTGCCTAACATCTCTTCCCCTCTGGCAGCTGCCCTCCTGTGTCATCCATACATTACAGGAGTGGCTCTTGGCTGCCATGTTTGTAGAAGTAACCTTATGGTCATGGCTTTTTGGAGACAGGCAGGCATCTGGTCCATGCTGAGCATGCATCCTTCCCTGAGAATTTGTAATTGGGACTAAGATTTTATCCTTGGCTTGGTTTTCTCTTGAAAAGAGAAGCAAACTTGGGAGCTTTTATTTTATTTATTTTATTTTTATTTTTAATTTTTAAGTAGGCTCCACACTGGGCGTGGAGGGGGCTTGAACTCACAACCCTGAAATCAAGACCTGAGTTGAGATCAAGAGTTGGATGCTTAACCAACTGAGCCACCCAGGCACTCCACTTGGGAGCTTTTAGTAGACATTTCCACTGCTCTAATTCTTGGTTCTAGCTGTCTGTGCTCTTACTTTCTGAGACATTCCTGGACTGTGTCTGGTTTAAGCTAGCTTGGGTGGGCTTGTTCCCTGCTCCCTCAAAGAACCCTAATCAAGGCAATGAGTAGTTTAAGATGTAGTCAGAACAGAACTCAGGAACTATGGGGCACCTGGGTGGCTCAGTCGTTAAGCGTCTGCCTTCGGCTCAGGTCATGGTCCCAGGGTCCTGGGATCGAGCCCTGCATCGGGCTCCCTGCTCCGCGGGAAGCCTGCTTCTCCTTCTCCCACTCCCCCTGCTTGTGTTCCCTCTCTCACTGTATCTCTGTCAAATAAATA